TCTAGAAGAGGCATTTCCTATAGGCTTTTGACCTTACTAACTGTAACCCCTTTTGGTGAACTGTAAATGAATTCCTGTTTGCCCCCAATATAATTTCATGTTTTTGTGTGATGCTACTAGAAGTTATCAATCATTTTGCATATTGAATGCTTCCTAAAGACTCATGTGCTGAAGATGCAGTCCCTACTTTGATCCTAATGAAACGCAATGAAACTTCTAAGAAAATATCTACTGGGATCAAATTAGGGTCACCTTTTGCAAATAATAAAAAAGCAGTATAGCACGTAAGATAAAATAAACCTTTTCCTTCCCAAGTTGCTTTTGATTTTGATTATTATCATAATAACAGAAAGCCAATTAGAATTGGGGTACTAGGACACTGGCCCCTTCCTGTTCTTTTCCTTCATTGTTGACATGTGTCTGTGCCACTGGGTTTTATGTTCAGGAAGTGGTCTCCTGTACCAACTCATTGAAGAGTATCTCCCACTTTCTCTTCTAAGAGTTTCAGTGTGGTTGGATTGGGGGGATTGTGGGGGGGTACCGGAGGAGGGGAGGGAGAAGGAACTGGGATTGACATGCGAAACAAGCTATTTAAAATTAAAATAATAATATTTAAAAAGCTCAAGGATTTGTTTTGTCTACTTAGAAGAAAATAACCTCTAATCATAGGATGGGTTTTTGTGCCTTCTTGCTACTGATTTTCAGGGTATAAGGATCTTTTTGGTTGGGAGCAACATAACTACTCTAAAAAGGTTCAACCAAACACAAAATAGATAGCATCATCCTGGGCACCAGTCCTTTAAGACAATCTTTAAGAGATTCTGATTGGCTTGTGACTGGTGGTGAATAGTAGCCGATGATTTACTTGAGAGCAAATAATGGAAGTCAGTGAATCTGTGAAACCAACCTTTGGCCCTACCTTTACTGTGATTGGACAGACTATTGCTCATTCACTTTTCCCTGGGAGCAGCATTTTTGATGCACCCTTGGTACTCCTCCTCACTGATTCCCTCCCTTTAAAGATTGAAATATGAGCTGTGTTTCAGTCTATGACCATTTCATTTCTGTGACTTTCAAATCTTCATTGATCAAAGACATGATTGCCTACTTACCCACACTCACTAAATATTTGCAACAAATCTTGAATGACAAACATTAAACCTTAAGCTGACAGATTCACTGTAGTTTCAAAAAACAGTAAGTGGAAATACTGAAACATGAAAACAGACATAAACAGTCCGTGCTAGAGTGCCACTCACATTTATGGTAATTAAGAAAGCAGTTTCACATGTAGATTCTTTCCTAGGACTGAAATACAGAAAACAAATTATAAAAGAGTAAAAATAAGGCACTTCCTTTAAATATCTGTCCTCAATTCACCTCCAGGTTCCAGAAATACTCTGATGTCACTTGAAATGTATCATTTAATCATAATTTGACATCATGGCTTTAAACTTTTGTAGTGATTGTAAATGGAAAATGACAGAATTTCTACCCAATCATGGTTACTTTTGCTGTGTAAGAATGCTAGGCACATACAGGGAAGAGTTTGCCAAAAGCCAAGATAATGCTGAGTATTTGAAAGTAGATATTTACATGTAATGCTCTCTTTCATCTTACTCTTTCGACAAAGAATAAAACATAGTTCTCTCTAAAGTGTGTGGCCATTAGTGATTTTTCCTCCAGTGGAACCAACATCACATTAAACAAATGAGATGGCCACAGTACACACAAATTTCCTTGGATACCACAAGAGACTTGGGCAGCTGTTGCCACCGTTCTTTCCTCCTGGGTCCTGGGAGAGATGCCAAGAAGATGTTGATGCTGTATAAAGTCCCCAGAAGAACAAAGATATTCGCAGCTTGATGTGCCCTAGTCCAGAACTGCTCTCTCCAGAAGGCAATGGGATCTCTAGCCCCAGAGTGCTGGAGGGTCCAGCCTGGTGCCACACTGAACAGAAATGTGGTCTTAGTGTCTCGAGATATCCTCTCATATAACCATGGTCATCTGCTGGAAAGCAGTGGGGTAATCTGTACCCATTGGGTTCTTCTAAGTTTAGGGAGTGGGTTCCTCATATCTACTCAATACCTGAATCTTTCCTTTGTACTTCTTCCTATTTTAGAATCAGTGAGGAATTTCTTTTCACTTTCTTCCCCATCAGAAGCTTCTAAATCAAGGTAAGTGACACTTCTTGCGGCGTACATAATATATGGGCAACTCTTAGGAACAAAAATATTTAAACTCTAAATGTTTCGTGTCTTTCCTTTTCATCCACAATGATATTCTCATTTTCTGAATCCCAAGTGCAGAGAATTATGCAATGAACCAAGGGAATAGACCCCTAATATTGCTTTTTGAGGACATTTCCTGGTGTTGGTTCATAAATAAATACCCCAAAGTAAGACCACCACCCTCAGACTCCTCCATGCTCCCCAGACTCACTCTGCTGCAGACTCCTTGGACTTTATCATGTAAGCAAGTAGATCTTGATATTGCTTATGAAGACAGAGGCAATTATGTTCATCTCAGTTTCTTTAGCAATAAATCGTCAGCTAGCAATCTTGTTCTTCGTTGTTTGTGTTATAAGTGTCTGCTATGTGGATGACTTCTAGCTTGCCCATTAACTTCTCATTTGATAACGTTATTCCACTCAATGTATCTTCTCACATCAGCCATCTGGGTTAAATATAAGGTAATTATCATACTCCTGACAAACATCTGGTCATCATTTATTGGTCTTGCTTCAGGGTGGCTCTTCAACTCCTCACCACTGTGTGTGGAGCTCCCATGATCTGGCTGCAGACAAGACAAGTTCCCTCGCCCCCTCCAAGCATCCCTTTTTAATTCATTCACTCTCCGTTCGTCAAACACACAGCCATTGGGATGTCCTGACCTCTATGCCCTTTTTCCCTGAATCATTTGTTTGAAATGCCTCAGCTTCTCCCCGATACATCTCAGGACATATCTCAGGCACACAGACAACAAACACCTCTTGTGTCATGTGATCATTGCTGCTCCAAGGACCTATGCTTATAATGAAACTGCTCCAGGACTGGAGAACATTTACTAACAGAATCACAAATTTCAAGTGTTTAAAAAGTAGTTATGAGACCAAAATCTGACTTTCTTTGTCGCAGGAGAGTGAGCCTAGTGGTGGATGGCATGGCTCAGACAGACACGGGCTTCGGCGTAGTCCTGACTGCATCCCTCTTTAACTAGGAACTGTCGCTTTATGTGACTGAGCTACAGTGCCTCTCCTGGGAAATTAGAGTAACCCTGTCTCATTAACATTATTTTATGTATTAGATGCTGCGTTTTGTGAACAGTAGTATGCAAACTTCCTGAAACCTAGTGAATGTTCCCTGATTTCTTCTTAGAGGATGTGGTGGATCATTGATGCTCACCAAATAACCAAATACAGAAAGTTCCATCCCTAGGAAAACACCCAAATTTTCCAGCTAATAAATGGCAGCACCTCTGTGTGATAGCTGCTTGTCATTTCTGCTTGATCTTTTCCCCCAAGCTTCTGCACCCAAATTCACTGACTTCTGTTAAAGACTCTACACCTAAAGTGGATCTTGAGCTCATTTCTGTCATCGAGTTTTCCAGGTCACTGGCCCCTTTCCCTTAAAGCCTGTGTCACCACCCTTGCTCCGGTCTCCAGGAAGGTCACTTGGAAATAACAGTCATTTTTCCATGACACAATAATGCCTGGCCATTTAATCTTCTGCCTGACTCCCATGGCATTTTAAGCCACTGTCTAGATCTTTCTTTGAGCTTCGGGGTCTTGTCTACTGGACCATGTCTACCTTCTCACCATTTCCTAGCTCCTCCTCTACCCACCACAGTGTAGCAGCAGGGGTCTCATTTAAGGTGGGGTCCCTTTCACCTAAGGTTTTCAAAGAGCTGGCCCTGGATTCCTCTGCTCAGATATCACCTCCTCAGGTGTCGGAGGGACATCCCATTCCAGATTATATGCTGTTACTTTCTGGCTTTTAATCTTTATTTAAAATATGTAAAATTCTATGATATATTTCTATTTTAGCTTAGAAATTACGCGCACTCCTCCCAGAAACTCTATCTTCTTTCTCAGAAACGGAAAGCCCACTAATCAAGGCCCCTCATTTCTGGTCCTCACCACTTAACTTGCATTACAGCAGTTACACCTCCCCTACATTCATCTTTACTGCTTTAATATCAAACAAGAGCCCCTTCCACACACAATAACATTTACAGTTTATATAAAACACCATTTGCCTGACCTCAGTTTCATTTTAATCCACAGTGACATCCCCTGAACACATGTTAGCATTTGTATCAAACAAGAAACGAAAATGGTTTTCAAAGAGGGCGTGATTTAAAGGACATAGCAACTCCATGGAAGACTTGGGAGTCAAAAGTGAAGTCCAGGGATTTCACAGGGATGAACTTGAACTTGGGAGACCCATGCCTCCTGACCACAAACAGCTCAGATTGTGACAGGCCCTTCCATCTCCACTAACGGTAGAAGAAAAAAGAGACAGGTGACATGGGAAGCTCCCCCAGCTGCAAGGAAGGACTTTCAGAAATGTGGGCAGATGGCTGCATGGGAAGGCCAGTGTGCTTTTGGGAACCAGTAGCTATAACAAAAGGGGATTTGCTAGTTTGCTTTGGAGGTATTTATGGAGGCATTGCAGAGTATTAGATACTACGTGGCTGTAGGATCAGACTTGAATACAATCCTTGTCCTCCTATCAGTGAAAACATAGAAATGTACTTAATATCTGTCTAGTAAGACATCATTAAAATGGATGTAACAGGGTATAGGTGAAGATGCTATGTGGGAAATTGAAATGGAGTGTGATATTCATGTCACAGTCATCTATCTAATGTGTCATATGCTGTTAATAAACAAATGTCACTGCTGTTGGTACTCAGAGCGTGCAGGGATGAACTATGCTTACCAGACCATGGATTCTGACCAAGTGATTCTTTTCTCTCAAAGGGCCGACTCCCGTGTATCTGATATGGATGTGGAGAACCAGACACGGGTCACCAAGTTCATTCTGGTGGGGTTTCCCGGGAGCTTGAGCATGCGAGCAGCAGTATTCCTGATGTTTCTTGTGGCCTATATTCTGACCGTAGCCGAAAACGTGATCATCATCCTACTGGTGCAGCAGAACCGGACATTGCACAAGCCTATGTACTTCTTCCTGGCCAACCTGTCTTTCTTGGAGACCTGGTACATCTCTGTGACTGTGCCCAAGCTGCTCTTCAGTTTCTGGTCCATGAGTAACAGCATCTCCTTCACCCACTGTATGATACAGCTTTACTTCTTCATTGCCCTCATGTGTACGGAGTGTGTCCTCCTGGCTGCCATGGCCTATGACCGCTACGTGGCCATTTGCCGCCCGCTGCACTACCCCACCGTCATGAGCCATGGGCTCTGTTTCCGCCTGGCCCTTGGTTCCTGGGTCATTGGCTTTGGCATCTCTTTGGCAAAGATCTACTTCATCTCCCGCCTCAGTTTCTGTGGCCCCAATGTCATCAACCACTTCTTCTGCGACATCTCCCCAGTGCTCAATCTCTCCTGCACAGACATGTCTGTTGCAGAGCTGGTGGACTTTGTCTTGGCTCTGATCATCTTCCTCTTCCCGCTGTCGATAACCGTACTGTCGTACGGCTGCATTCTGACCACCGTGTTGCGAATGCCGACAGGAAAGCAGAAAGCCCTCTCCACCTGTGCTTCCCACTTTGTGGTGGTCACCATCTTCTACTCAGCCACTATTTTCATGTATGCCCGGCCCCGAGCTATTCACGCCTTCAACATGAACAAAGTCATTTCCATCTTCTATGCCATCGTCACCCCGGCCTTCAATCCCTTCATCTATTGCCTAAGGAATCGGGAGGTCAAAGAAGCTCTGAAGAAATTGATCTATTGCCAGGCTATTAGAACTGACTAATCTGTCACGACTGATTGGAAAGAAAAGACTGTCTTCTCTGTTTTTCTATCCATTCTCTTTCAATGTCCCAGCTCAAGATTGATGATGTCACCCTTTCCACACTGGTCTTGGGCGTCTGTACATATTTATGCATGAGAACTGTGCTCTGAGGACATACACACTATGTAGATATCTATAAAATATAATTCACTTTGAATCTAATCCAACATGGAGTTTATAAGATTGTAGATAATTAAGCTAAACAAAGTGTGGTGTGGTATTGTGTGGCTTGGCCTAATTTGGGTCCTGTAAGCATGAACAATTCTGACGTTAATGATTCTGTGGCATCCTTGCTTTCCCACTAACATTACTGACAGAGGAAGCAGCTTCATCAACAATCCCATTATCTACGTGCTTGGGATCAGTGTTGGTGTCAGAGGCTAAAAGGCTGATCCTCAGATCCTTCCAAACCCTTTTCTAGCACCTTTTCTTGAACCTTCAAAACCTTTTCTTGAACGCTACCTTTCTGCAGGAGAGTGATTTTTTAAAATCTATGTGTGAACTGGCATTACACAATCATATATTTTCAGTCTGATACAATTTATGTAATTGCCTTTCCTTGAAGTCCATTTTTCCCTTCAGAACATTTGCTTATATCTTCTGATTGATGAGTGTAAAATAGATGATGAATAAATCTTAAATATATTATTCAATACAGATCAACTAGCCTTATTAGTCCTGTTGCCTTCCAAACCCAGTATTTTCTCATTCATTCTCTTCCACTCTTTTCCTAGCTTTTTCTTTTACCACTTGCAAACAAACTCAAGTAACAGCACAATTTTAATGATTGACATGGATTTTCCTTCTATGACACAGTGATAGTTGGCTCTCTTTATCTGACATCATACATAACACTTTTTTGATTAGCTCTACAGACATGCCGTTTCACAGTCTTGTCAACGGCGAAGTGAGTTCTACTGTAAGCTCCATTCAACATAATGGCTCCAGAGGTCAGAATCTAATTTTTGTTACAAGCAGTTATTTATTTATTTATTTATTTATTATACAGTGTTCTGCCTTCATGTATGCCTCTAGGTCAGATCTCAATACAGATGGTTGTGAGTCACCATGTGGTTGGTGGGAATTGAATTCAGGACATCTGGAAGAGCAGAAAGTGTTCTTAACCACTCAGCCATCTCTCCAGCCTCCTTTTTAAACAAGAATGTTCATTATACCTGTTATAATTTTCACCTAAGTACAATAAATAAATAAATAAACGCTTTGAAAGTAAGGAGCATTTAGGTGGGATTACCTCCTCATTTTACAAACATCCAGAACAGATATTCAAGAAAGCAAATAGCGTTTTCCCAAAAATATTGATGAACAAAGGTCAAAAGCCCAGGTTGCTTGGTTCTGAGCTCTGTGTCCTTCCTCGAGTGCCTGGGTCTCCCAAAGGAAAACATGCTTCTTCAGAGGCCAGGTGCGCAGAAGTTAATTGCGAAGGGACTGAGTAGATAATGAACTTCTACAGCAGAAGACAGCTAATAAAATATACTGGACAAATGTGAAGCCCAGATCTTAGAAAATTCAAGAAGCAAAGAGAAGTAGACACACACTTCACTTTAGGAAATGAATGTGCAAAAGCAAACAGTGTCTGCTGCTGGACAAATTTCCTTTCCTTACTCAATAAAATGTGGTTATGGTTGTCTTTATATTTTAAACCCTAACTAGGTAAAAGAAATTATTTTCTGAATAATCCACATTAATCAACTATCATGGTGTGCCCAGAGAGAATATTAAATGTGTGTCTGAAACATAAGCAAAAATTCTTCTGTAGAGACCAGAAAAGCAAACCAGAACGAAATAACAAAAGTTACATGTCATAATCTAAGTTTTTGCTCTGGATATTTTTTTACCATGGGGCCTTGAAAGAACTGTTTATACATTCTGGAACACTGATTCTTTATATGCAAAACAGGAGTAATTATGCCTGCTCTGCTTGGCTTCTACAATGGTTATGAGGCTCAGCTAATATGATCCAAAGACCTTGACTATTCAGGGCCTGGGATAGTCTAAGATCTGAACAAAGTGTCCCTTGATTAGAGCTTACATGGAAAAATGAGCAAGAAAGGGTGTTTTCTTTCACCCTACACAGACTGATTATGTCCACTGACATAATCTGGAAGATGATAAATACAAATACAAATATAACTTTATTAAACTTTGTTATAAAGAACAAATGAGAATTAGTAATGCATCCTTGAACTCTTTGTGAGAAGAATCCTTAAGGGTATAGAAGGAAATTACAGAGTATGATTCAGAGTAATGCAGGAATCTTCCTCAACAGAAAGAGTACAATTCTTGGCAGTTTAATAGGTAATTCTGTCGAAACAAGCTATTTGTAATACATGACACCAAATGTTTTCTTACCTTTAGCACCATTATAACCCCCAAGCCTTAACTCTTTAAATTATTGCCCAAGGAATCAAGAGGTCAAAGAAACTAGTTTATTGCAATGCCACTGGATATGACTAGTATGTTATGATTTGTTAGAAAGAAATGATTATCTGCTCTGTTTTCTATATCTTTTCTCCTCCAGTGGCCCGGCTAGGCATTAATGGTGTCAATATGATACCACTATGTTTACACAAATTGTGGACCCTCATGCTTATGTGGTCATGTGGGCTGAACTCTAAAGATATAGACACTATGTAGATATCTAGAGAATGAATTCTATTTTACTCCAACCCAACATGGAATTTCTAAGATAATAGGTAAACTCATAACTGAGTTAATCAGGCTATGAGGTAGAAGTGTATGGAAAGTCCTGATTCAAATACTGAGAAAAAGAACAGTTCTGAGGACAAAGTTAATGTGGTGTGCTTTCTGGCCTATATGTCGGTCCATGGCAGGATACCAGCTTCCCAAAAAAATCCATTTATGCCAGACTGTTGTACTTAAGGTGAATTTATAGTGGGTAAAGATGATGTAAGCATAGTGGCCAATTTATCCAAAGGATAAGCTATGAGGCTATGGTTACCATAACTCATACGTATAAAGAGTTTTTTAAATTAAAATTAAATATAGACAAATGAATTTTTACGTATTTTGATAGAAGAATGAAGGCGTCAGAGGAAATCACAGATTAATTTAAAAATATGATTCTACCCAGAGAGAATGTTTGGTTAGTTAGGCTATCTGTTTCCATCCACACTTGCTACCTTTTCTCTCTAAGCCATACTAGGTTTTCCTTTCTTTTCTTCCTTTTATTGAAAACAGATTTACGTCTCTAAAATAATATACCGCAATTATGGTTTCCTCTCTCTCTGCTTCTTTTCCCCTCCAGTTCCTTTCCACCTCCCCTACAATCTGGATGAACTCCTGTCTGTCTCTCCTTAGGAAACGGACCTCTAAGGAATAATAATAGTGTAGTATAGTACAGCATAATACAAAAATTAACACATCAGAATCGGACAAATCAAACAGAAGGAAAAGAGCACAAGAAACAGTTATAGACACAGAGACCTACTTGCTTGCATACTCGGGAATCACATAAGAACACTAAACTAGAAGCCATAGAGTGTGTGTGTGTGTGTGTGTGTGTGTGTGTGTGTGTGTGTGTGTGTGTGTGTGTGTGTGTGTTGAACCATCTCTGCATCTCTGGGATGAAACCTGCTTGATCATGGTGGATGATCCTTTTAATGTGTTCTTGGATTCAGTTTCCCAGTATCTTATTGAGTTTTTTTTCACTCTTCATGAGAGAAATTGGTTTGTAATAATTCTCCTTCTTTGTTGAGACTTTGTGTGGCTTGGGTATCAGAGTAATTGTGACCTCATAAAAATAATTTGGCAATGTTCCTTCTTTTTTGTGGAACAATTTGAGAAGTACTGGTATTAGCTCTTCTTTGAAAGTCTGGTAGAATTCTGCGTTGAAACTGTTTTTTTTTTTTTGTAGAGCAGGTTGGAAGACTTTTAATGACTGCTTCTATTTCTATAGGGGGTTGTAAGTTTATTTAAATTATTTATCTTATCTTGATTTAATTTTCATATGTGGCATTTATCAATAAATTTGTATGTTTCTTTTAGATTTTCCAATTTTGTAAAGTACTGGTCTATGAAACATGATCTAATGATTGTCTGGATTTCCTTAGTGTCTCTTATGGCTCCTTTTCATTTCTAATTTTGTTTTTGTTGCTGTTGTTGTTGTTTTTGTTTAGTTTGGATAAGGGTTTGTTTATCTTGTTTATTTTCTTAAAGAATCAAATCCTTGTTTCATTGTCTTGTTCTATGTGTCTCTATTTCATTAATTTCAACTCTCAGTTTGATTATTTCCTGCCATCTACCTCTTGGGTATTTTCTGCTTTCTGCTCTAGACCTTTCATGTGTGCTGTTAAGTCTCTTGTATGAGATTTCTCCAAATTATTTATGCAGACACAGTGCTAATAATTTTCCTCAGCACCGTTTTCATTGTGTCCCATAAGTTTGGATATGTTGTACATTAATTTTGACTGAATTATAGGAAGTCTTTAATTTCCTTCTTTATTTCTTCCTTGACTCAGTGGTAATTCAGTTGAGAGTTGTCCCATTTCCATGAGTTTGAAGACTTTCATAATTTGTGTTGTTGTTGAATTCCAACTTTATTCTGTGGTGATCTGATAAAATACAGGGAGTTATTCCAATTCTTTTGTGTATCTTTAGAGACTTGCTTTGTGAACAATTATGTGGTCAATTTTAGAGAATGTTCCATGAAGTGGAATCTACCTTCCATGAGAATAAGTTATATTCTTTGGTGCTTGGGTGAAATATTTTGTAGGTAATCTGTTAGGTCCATTGGAGTCATAGCAGCTGTTAGTTCCATTATTTCTCTGTTTAGTTTCTGTCTGGATGACTTGTCCATGCTGAAAGTGGGATGTTGAAGTCTTCCACTATTAATGTGTGGAGTTCAATATGTGATTTAAGCTTCAGTAATGTTTCTTTTACAAATGTGGGTGCCCTGTTTTGGGAACATAGATGCTCAGAAATGAGACATCATCTTGGTGAATTCATCCTTGATCTGGTCTGGCCTTCAAGTAAAGCTGAAGTCCTCTTGGCTTTCTAGATCTGACTTGGCTTCCAGTAAAGCCCAAGTCTTCCTCTTCTAGGTACCTAGGACCAGCCTGGCCTCTAGTAGAGCTACTGGGGTTGTCCTTCCAAATGTGTGGACTGTGTCTGGACCTATGGAGTCTGTTGGAGTTATTGGGCAGGGCTGGCCATTGGGAGGATAGCAAGGTGTAAGGGGTTGGGTGATGATATGGGTCTTGGGGAAGCAAAATCCAGGAGTGGTGACAGTCCTTTCAGTAAGTGGATCACTCACCTGCTTGCTGACTGGTGAAGGCTGCACCAGAACACTAGGAGTCCCCCTTCCTCTGGAGTAGAGGGCAGGGCCTAGCAATGGTCTGATGCTGACATGGGAGAGGCTGGGCTATAGGATAGGAGGATAGGGTCACTCACCATTTCTGGGTGGTGTGGTCTGTGTCTCAGTGGTAGAACTTTGTTTGGATTAGGAATGAGGCCTGGCAGCATCAGGGCCAGGAATGAGCTGGGATGGCATGGGCCTGGGGAAGGGTTTGGGAGGACTGAATCCAGGGTCAGGTACAGTTCTGCTGGCAGGTGAGTCACTCACCTGT